GCTGAGTGACCTGCTTTGTTACAAACTTGGCAGATCAGTCTATTTCTGTTATAACCACGACCTCTGCCTCTTCCATACTGAACAAAATCAGGCCCTTTAGGAGTAAAAGTGGGAGTGTGGTTGTAGGGAAAATGGTGAGTAGTTAAACCAATAGGGAAGTGGTTTGATGGCAGTGGATATGTTTGTTGGACATGGGAATTTCCTAAGGAGTTTAGAGATGGAATGGAATTAGAGTTCCCAGCAGCAACTCCATAATTTTTGTCACTGTTCAGTCCAGAATGTCCAAAACTTCCACTTCCAATGTTATTTGCAGAATTTCCAACATTTCCACTTCCAATATTATTCATAGTTGCAATATGAGCTGAACTATTATATAGATCGACTGAATTGAACTTGTCTAACCGAACTTCATATTTTTGAAGCAACAATTGTGCTTCTTGAAGTGTTATTGAGTCTATTTTCGATTTAAGCCTAGTTGTAAGATTTACCACCACAAGATCATATTCAGGACCTAATCCATCCAGAACATACTGTAACAAGTCATCATCAGATATAATCATACCGCTAGCTGATAAACTTTCACTAATTTCTTTCATCTTTTTGACATATTCAAAAATGCTCAAATTGTTCTTTTGAGTTGTCTGTAATAGAATGTAATGCCCTAGCCTTTGAATCTGTGACAAATTCATCCTCTAGGACTCTCCAAATATCAGTTGAAAACCTACACTTAGACACTGTACCAAACATACTTTCTGATATTGAAGCTAGCAGCCAACTAACCAGAAACTTATCGGTTCTCTTCCACATAATGTAACTCGGATTAATTTTGTCCTTAACAGAATCATTCTTAACCCTAAGTTCTCCACTCAATTGACTCAGCTCATTATCAACATTCATATCAGACAAAATTAAGGGTGAAGGACATGGAATTTTACCGAGCAAGTGGTCCTCGAGCTCATGCGATCCTACAGCAAAAAGAACTTTCGAGCTCCAAAATCTGTAATTATCTCAAGTAAGTTTTGGATTAATCACCGGTAGACTTGAAGCAACCGCAGACGACGATAGATTTAACACTTCCTTCAGCATTTCCTCAAGGCTGTTAGGCAGAGGATTTGAGCTTAAATTAGGATTTTTAGCCATTGACGTTAGTCACAGCTCTGATACCATGAAAGGATTAAAAAGATTTGAAGAAAATTTAGGTAAATTCAAAGAGAGATTCGTTGATTTGAATGCTGTATTAACCATACTACTATTTCTCATCTCACTTTACTCTTTTATATGTAAAAGAGTAAAGTGAGAGTTTACAATCTGTTTTCAATCTGCGTTTAAACTAAAATAGTTGTAGTCAAAACTACACCATTTCTGTACAATTTCACACAGGCCCTCACAAGTTTGACAGTTAACAAACAACACATAGTTTATACTACATTCTAACATTTACGTCTATAAGACTATAAATCTGTCAGTGAAAATAATTATGCTTTATTTGGGATTGTCTCTAAATTATGATTATGTAGAGAGAAAATAACTGAAGAAAATATGTTGGAAAAAACATTCTCCACTTTCCACCCTTCTAATATGCTCCTACGACAACAATATAGGGAAGGCAACTTTAAGAAATATTCTGAATTAATTTCTTATTTACTTGTGGTTGAGCAAAATAATGAACTATTGCTAAGAAACCATTAGATTCACCCCACTGGTTCCCAACCGTTCCCCGAAGTGAACACGACAACTAGCAGTAATAATCGTGGATGTAGGTGGGGTCTAGGTTGAGGTCATGGGCGAAATAACTATCAACACAGAGGTGGTCTTAACAAGAAATTTCATTTACACCACCCAAAGTGGAGCAAGACTGAATCAAAAAACGAAAGAAGCCACTCATAGAACAAGAATAATGAAAACAAGTGCTATAGATGTGGAGGAAAAGGCCACTAGTCATGTACCTGCCGTACGCCCAAGCACTTCGTGGAATTTTATCAAGCATCAATTAAGAACAAAAAGATAGAGACAAAGCTAACTGATGCCTCTGAGTCAAATCATATCAATAATTCTAATACGACTAGCCTTAATGTCTCAAATTTCTTTGGAGATGCCAATATGGAATATTAGAGTAGTTATGAAATGCCTGTGATTTCTAGGATTTATGTAACTTTTGTCATGTTTTTTGAAACTATGTATGTTTGATGAATATTTTTACCTTGTTTATTCCTCCTTAAGTTATGTAAACATCCTCAATAACGTCAAATTTTTTTCTTTAAAGGATGAAATTCAAAAATGAGAATTGATATCCAGTAATGATAGAGAAATTTGTATAGTAGACAATGCAATGACGCAGACCATCCTTCAGGATAGAAAATATTTTTTAGATTTGATATTTACTGAAGCTAAAGTAAATACCATATCAAGGTCTATAAACATAATTGAGGGCTCTAGAAGAGCAACACTCTTGTTACCAAGCATAACTAAATTAAGTATCAATGATGCTTTATATTCTAGCAAATCCAGAAGAAATTTGCTTAGTTTCAAAGATATACGACTCAATGGATACCACATTGAAACTTTAAGTGAAAAGGATGGAGAGTTTCTATGCATCATTACTAATATTTCATGCTAGAAGCATATACTGGAGAAACTCCCTGCTTTTTTTCATCAGGGTTATATTACACATTCCTAAAGAATGTTGAAGTCTATGCAGTTATGAACTAAACATTCACTAATCCTGAACTTTTTTAAGATTTAGCACGATTGTCTTGGTCACCCAGGATCTACTATGATGCGTAGAATCATAGAAAACTCACATGGTCACCCATTAAAGAACCTGAAGATTCTATCACCTAATGAGAATGCTTGTATTGCTTGCTCACAGGGCAAATTGGCACTTAGGGCATCCATCACTAAAGTTGGTCTAGATCCCCTATCATTTTTACAAAGAATTCATAGGGACATATGTAGACCTATTCAACCACCAGTGGACATTTCCACTACTTTATGGTACTGATTGACGCATTGGCACGATGGTCACATGTTTCTCTACTATCTACCAATAATGTTGCCTTTATTAAATTGCTAGCAAAAATTATTGGATTACAGGCACACTTCCAGATTACCCAACTAAAGCAATTTGTCTGGACAATTTTGGTGAGTTTACCTCAAAGACATTTGATGACTATTGTACAACAATAGGAATTGATGTTGAGCACCCGGTACCACATGTACATACCCAGAACGGTATGGCAAAGTCATTTATAAAGCATATCCAACTAATTGCATGAACTTTGCTATTATGTATGCAATTACTGACTTCTGTCGGCTGGGCTCATGCTGTTTTACACGCTACGATGTTAATTCGCCTAAGACCCACTGCATATCTTCAATACTCTCCAATACAACTTGTATTTGGACATCAGCCTAATTTATTCCATTTAAGAACTTTTGGTTGTGCTGTGCAAGTTCCAATTGCACCCCTCAACGCACCAAAAAGGGAGCCCAACATCGTTTGGGAATACATGTTGGCTATGACTCATCATCTATCATCAGATATCTTGAGCCCTTGATGGCTGATGTGTTTATCGCATGTTTTGCGGATTGCCATTTTGATGAGACAATATTTCCTCCTTTAAAGGGAAAGGTAAAGTCTCCTAAATTAAGGCTTGAAAATTCTTAAAAATTCTATTATCTCATTTAGATCCTCACACATCTCAATCTAAAATTGAAGTGCAAAGAATAACTCATTTGCAAAATATTGCCAACCAAATGTTTGATGCATTTACTGATACAACAAAAATAACGAGATCATACATTCCAGCTGCCAATACACTAGCAAGGATTGATGTTATTAATGAACAATCCATATAGGCAGCGATCGATTCATCTGTTACACGCCTGAAGCGTGGGAGGCCTGTTGGAGCCAAGGATACTATTCCTAGGAAACGAAAGGCATAGAATCAAATAGGTTCCAACATTGACAATACTAGAATAGTTGACAATTCCACATCTTCTAAACTAACTCTAGAAGAGTTAACAGTCCCTAAAACGACACAAGCCCCTAAAGAGGAAGAAATCCTTGAAGGAATACAAAACATATAAATGAAGAAATTTCTATAAACTATGCTCACTCTAGAGAAATGTGGCATCGTGAGACAACTATTGTCAATAATATATTCTCATACGCAGTAGCCACTGAAATTATGAATGATGAGTCTGAGCCATGTTATGTTGATGAATGTCGAAAGAGACAGAATGGGAAGAGGCAATTCAAGAAAAATTAAGCTCCCTAGTAAAACGTAATGTATTTGGACCTGTATTACAAACACCTAAAAACGTGAAACTCGTAGGATACAAGTAGGTATTCACAAGGAAACAAAATGAGAAAAATAAGATTGCTAGCTAGGTATAAGGCCAGACTAGTGGCTCAAGGTTTCCTATAGAGACCCGAATTGACTTTGATGAGACGTATTCACCAATGCTGGATGCTATGACATTTTGATACTTAATTAGTTTATCAGTCTCAGAACGACTTGATATGCGTCTCATGGACGTTCTCATTGCATATTTGTATGGGACACTGGATATTGATATCTATATGAAAATCCTTGAAAGGATCATGTATTCAATAAAATTGCAAAGATTTTTATATGGGTTGAAACAATTTAAGACGAATGTGGTATAATCGTCTCAATGAATGTTTGATTAAGGAAGGACACATAAAAGATCCTGTATGCTCATGTGTCTTTATAAAAGGGTCAAAATCAGGATTTGCAATTGGGGCAGTATATGTTGATGTCATGAACTTAATAGGGAGTCCTAAAGAGGTCACAAAAGTTGTTGAGTACTTAAAAAGAGAATTTAAATTAAAGGATCTATGGAAAACAAAGTATTGTCTCAACCTACAGATCAAGCATTGTTTAGATGAAATTTTGCTCTATCAATCAAATTATATTGGAATGATCCTAAAGCAATTTAATATGGATAAATCTCATCACCCATTGAGTACCCCAATGGTAGTTTGGTCTCTTGATCCTAAAAATGATCCATTTCATCCTAAAGAAGACGACAAAAAGATACTTGGTCCTAAAATACCATATCTAAATGCAATAGGTGCATTATTATATTTGGCACAATATAAGAAACCAGACATAGCATTTGTAGTCAATCTATTGGTAAGATTTAGCTCTACACCAACTAGCCGACACTGGAATGAGATCAAACATGTCTTTCGTTACCTCAGTGGAACAAAAGATTTGGAATTATTTTATCCAAAGAAATCTGTTAATGATCCTAAATTAGTTGGCTATATAGATGTTGGGTACCTTTCTGATCCTCACAAAGCCTGCTCACAGGCGAGATATGTTTTCACTCATAATGGTACTACAATATCATGGCGTTTTACAAAACAGACATTGGTTGCTACTTCCTCCAACCACTCCGAGATTCTTGCGCTTCATGAAGCTAGCCAAGAATGCGTATGGTTAGGATCTGTCATCCATCATATTGAAGGTACATGCAAATTGCCACGTACCTCAGATGCTTCCACAATTATAAATGAAGACAGTGTAGCATGTATTGCTCAAGTCAGGGGAGGATATATCAAAGGAGACAAAACCAAGCATATTTCATCGAAGTTCTTTTACACTCACGAACTCTAGCAAAATTGAGAGATTGATGTCAAACAAATACACTCCAGTGATAATCTTGCTGATTTATTTACTAAAGCTTTACCAACATCAACATTTGAAAAGTTACTGTGTAACATTGGTATGTGAAATGCAAGTTAGTGTACTATTTTTTGTACTCGACATATGTGCACTTTACCTTTTTTTCCTTGACCAGGTTTTGTCCCACCGGGTTTTCTTGACAAGGTTTTTAATGAGGCAGTATAGAGCACGTTCAATTTCACGTTATAGTAGAGTTCAATTTGTTCACTTAAGTTTGTTTCTCCCATTGGGTTTTCCTTCAATAAGGTTAAATACAATTATCTGTAAGTAGTGGATGTCCAAGGGGGACTGTTGTGATTGGCCATCCACCGCCTTAACTTTGAAGCAGTGAATGGGGGGAGGGGGCATTGGCTATAAAAGGCCCCCCACCCCTTCATTTTTACTACAATAAAGTGAAAAGAATATAAGTTTTACAGTCCCCTTTTGACTTTGCTCTCTTAGCATTTTGTCTTCTTTAATCTAGTACACTTATACCACTATGATTATAACAATTATAACATTAAATTTATATAAACGTAAATTACGTGATATATCCATTCTCTCATAATTCTATCTTTTACGTCATGGATCTAATAAAATCAACAGGGTGCAAAGATATTTTCATGTTGCTTTCATAAATTCTTTGACATAGACCAAGAATAATTAATTAATAATCCTTATATTGTCTCTCTTTCATTACACAGAAATTAGAAAGCAAAATTAATTGTGCACTTTCTTTTCCTTATCCCAATAATAAATTCCAACTTGTGCGCTTTGTAGTTGAAAGGTCGTTTTATGTATTTAAATCGATAATAACAGTTGACTTATATATATATAATTCAACTGTTATTATCAATTGCTAATTAAAATGTGGATGAAAAGTCTTCTCTTTTATGAATATAATGTATATATGAATATTTTGACGTGAAGATTTTGAAGAACAAAATACATTGGTGAAGATGAAATACGATACTGATTGAAATTTAATTAAAGATGAAAATGATGATAGAATACGAGGGTTTTATTTTATGTATCCCTGTGAAGTCATTTAATACGAAATATATTAAATGTTACTGAAAGGTATAACATACCTCTTAGGATTATCAAAAACCTCGAATAGTTTTTAATAAAGTTATTACACGAGAAATAAAATAAATCTTGCAATAAAGCTAATAAGGAAATTTATAAAAAGAATTGGAGAATTTCAGAAATTAGCCCTGGCCCTTGCTTAATATTTGTTTGTTTAGTGGATGTTGATTTAACAAATAAATCTTTATTCAGAATTTTTGCTAATTCACATTCATTTTTGTGAGCTGGTTTTCTAATTTCTTTTTTTTTTTTTTTTTCTCCTTTTGGTGGCAATGGATAAACAGTGAGCGCATTGAACTCAATATTTCAACAGTGGGATACACAAGCAGTGGCAGGATTGTGGAACTTAAGTGAAGAGCCTTGTCGTGGAAGTGCAAAAAAAGAGACTGACTTTGAAGACCAAAAAATAATCCAGCTATCAAATGTGACTGCATCTATGACAACAATTCAACTTGCCATATTTAGTATTCTCAATCCCCTTTTAAGTTAAATGTACTTTGTAATATAATCTTTCACAAATTATACTGGACTAGGATTAGTTCAAGTGATAGGTATGTGGTATTGGATTAAAATAATGTCGAATCCTCACCTACTAGTAGTTTAATCTTTTAGTGGGGTGTTATTATCTTGACATGGTATCAAAGAGCCTTCACCTAACAACTTAAAGTTCTATGATAAAGTTGAACCCTCACCTACTCACTTAAATTTTTACGTAGTTTGACAACTGAACTCGTTCATTCGAGGTGGAGCTATATATGTACCCATACAAATACTTGTAGCACAAATGGTTTATTGTATTATCCAGGAGGGTGTAAGCACTAAACAAAACAGAAGTGATTGACATTTTTGTATGGATTTTCCCGTTTATTTTCCAGTCTTGATTTATTTAAACTTTAGTCTTTATCAATGTCAAATCAAAAAACATTGTATTATTTTGCAGAAAACTAGATCAAAATTACTTCACTAGTACATTGCCTGCTTTCATTGGAAATTTATCTCGATTGTAGGAATTGTAACTTTTGGGACCACATCCTTGGTAATTGTTTAAGCCCATAAAGAGAATTTTCCAACCTACACACCAAGTCCTCCTTCCCTTTGCATACACACCCAGTCCTCCTTCCCTTACTGCACTTGAATGCTGGCCTGGCAGGGCCGGCATAATTAAGCATCAGAGCAAATGACTTTGCACAACACATTCATCAGTATCAGTCGGCACAGTTTTTGGTGTTGGGAAGGGTAACCGTCACACAAAAAAATTGTTTCCTGGCGCTGTGTCTGCATGGGGGCATAATGCTTCTCTAGTATGTAATGAGTTGCATTTTCCCAGTTGAAAATTTCTTAAATATAGAAATTTGGTTAATTAAAGAAGAAAAATAAAGGATAGAGTTAAAGGAGAGGTGTGGCAAGAAATGGAAGAAACTATAGAGGAATAGAAAGGGGAAAAAAGTAGAAAATTGGGTATTAATTCATTATTCAAATCATCATATATACCATACTACAATAGAAATTTATCCAGAAAGTCCATATAAAATTTTACAGAAGTGATACTATAATAAGAAACATAGGATTTTTTTCACTATACTCATCATGTGATGGTCTTCCAGTCAACTATCTAATATTACTGGTTTGCAAGGAAAACTTCCCAACACTAAAAGTCTACAATAGTTTGAATTTGGAAATGCTGCCAACAATAGAAAAGGGCATGTAGATATATCATTTGCTCAGTTTCAGTGAGTGAAGATATTTCTTACCTTCCCTCTGCTATTATATCATTGAATTGGCTGACATTTAGTGGAGAGACTAGTGGGTCAACTCCTATCTAAGATCATTTGGATTGTCGCATTTATTCTTTCTATAACTTGCCATAGATGAAGATGTGCCAATATCGTTGTGCACAATAAGGCTACTCGTTTCATCATTAAAATTCCAAATAGTCAAATAACTTGGCTTCGATGTAATAGCTCCTTCACAACTCGGGACATTGGCGGCCTTGACATTGGTGATGCTTGAGTGCATAAGAGACCCACAGCTATTACTCGAAGAGCTTCACTTTCATCAAACTCGATCAGTGTGGGATCAACCAACCCCAAACTTGGTTGCTTTCATGAAGACTCCAAGCCTAGAAATAACATATAGACAATTGAAAAGAAACTAAATAAAAAAAATCAAAGTTCCAAGTTTATTTTCTTTACCTATTCGAGAAGATAAGTCTTTTCCCTATCCAAGTTACTATAAGAGTTTGCTCTTCCACTGATAATCTCCAAAGCAACAACACCAAAACTGAATACATCAGCCTTATCTGTCAAGTGCCCACGCATCGCATACTTGTGCCAGATAACCACTGCAAGATAATTAAGTATTTCTAAAGGTTATAATCCAAAACAAGCTATTATGGAAGACATGGCAATCATGAAATGATTGAAGGAGCTTACATGGTCCCTGCAACACCTGTGCTGATGTGAGTTTTCTTATCATCAAATAGTTTTGCCAATCCAAAATTTGATATCTTGGGGTAGAGTTTTGTATCAAGTAAAATATTACTTGCTTTGATGTCTCGATGTACAATCTTTGGTTTTGACTCCTTGTGAAGATATGTTAGACCTTTTGTGGTTCCAAACATATTTTAAATAGGGTAGGCCAATCGAGATGAAACTTCCTATTTCCTGAGTTAAGGCTAAGTATTAATTATCAACATTAGTTTTAAAATTACCCAAGGATGGTTATTAAAGATCATACCAAAATATACTTTATCAAGATTGTTGTTTTCATGATATTCATAAACAAGTAGGCACCTAGTTCCTTCAATGTAGCATCCATACAATTTCACAAGATTGCGATGTTGCACTACAGTTATGGAAGCGATCTCATTAATAAACTGATTTTTCCCCTGGTGGGATCCCAATGAAAGTTGCTTCACAACTATCATTCTTCCATCAGAAAGCACACCCTATAGCACCAGATTTAACAACACAGATCATATCGGTCCTCGATGAAAATTTGAAATGTAAAATCAACCTAGTCTGGCTATGACCAGACATTATTACATAATCTGCTGCAACCCAAGTTCCAAATAAACTATCTATAGGTTGCAACTAGTAAATGTAAGACATAAAAATACCTTGTACACAAGTCCAAATCCTCCCTCTCCTAGCTTATTTGAAGGGTTGAAGTCTTTTGTTGCAGATCTCAACTCAACATAACTGAAAGTTTTCAGTTTAGGTTCCATTCCAAGTAGCACTGCATATGGAAGCAAGATAAAAGATTACATGAGATGGAAGGATTTGAAGTACAAGGAGATGAATTACAACAACAACTTTGGCTATGTTCAGGAGTGCTAGAACAGAGTTCAACACTTCTGTTACAACTATATTCTAGAATCTACTTTTCACAAATGCCCAGAGAGCCTTTAACTTTGAGAAGAAGTGAAAAGTGGAATTCATTAATTTTCAAGAAGAAACTTAGTATCAAAGATTTTGTGACTATTATTATCGTTGAGTTGTCATGGGTGCTCTTACCTTCCACATCATCGTTGTCTCCTTTCATCCTCGTACAAAAAACTAAAACCAACAGTATGAAGCCCAAAATTGAAAGAGGGATTGCAATACTAGCAATCAATCCAATCTAGTTCTTTCGTTCAACACCAACAGTTGATCGGAATTTTGAGTAGTAAAATTCAGTTATATCAGCATAAAGCATATTAGCACAGTTATAGAAATTCATAAAGATTAAGATTCAATTAAATCACATAGTTTACATGGAATGACACTAAAAGCATAAATTAATGGTCCATAGCTACCAACTTTAGGTATGCAGCATATCCCTTTACCAGCCCAAACTAGGTGAATTTCAAGATGGTTCTCAGTGACATTAGCAGTAAAGCTCTTCCTAATTGCTCTTCTAACCCCACCTGCTTCCTTTGATATGTCAAAATCTTTGCACCGATGAGTTCCCTATAGGACAATTGATGAGAGATAGCATTCATATTTTTGTGTAAAAATCATTAGATGCAATTGTAATAGTAGAATCTATACATAATAAGGGTATGAATCACAGGATCTCCAAATAATATTTTCTTTTACCGAATTGTTTACCTAGATAGATATATCAAAAACATGGCTTCCAAGGCTCCCCCATTTTCTTAAGTCTTGATCTTCATAAACTATTTCAGCGAAGAACAAGCTTACATTGTAAGGCCCATAATATCTAAGTGATCCAATCAATTTTCTTGAAGTCTGATAAAGAGCTGGGGGTGTAGTGTTACTGTTAATTTCTTTGGTTCCGGTATTTTGGGCGAGTGTGTTAAATCCTTGTTTCTCAATGACAGTATACAAAAAAACCCACATTACTAATTGGCCATTTTTCTTAATTAAGTACATCAAAAGAAGCTTCACTGATATCTTTATCGTCGGCTTCATACTCTCTAAACTTTGTAACCATAGTTGATTGCTATACCTAAATCTGCAAACGCAAAGATAAAACTCTAACGATAATATTGATATGAATTTCCTACAGCAAAGATTCAGACAAAATTCATCAAATATTTTTATTTTAATGTCTTCCGATAACTAAATACATGCTAAAACAAACTATAATAAATCATCCAATCTTGACAATCTAGAAGCTAGTTACATACCTACCTCATTTAGTGGGACTCAAAGAATTATGATCATTACATATTGTCCTACTTACCTTATTTAGTGGGGTTAAGATGTATCTCTTATCCAACTCTTTCTACTTAAGCTCAAAGCAAGTCCCCTAACTTGTGTTGAGATTGTGGAGCCAAATTCAATCCAAATTAGGGTTGGATTAGGATATAGGATTTCCTAATATGTGTTTATGTATACTTGTTTTCCTTTAGGAATACAATTAGGAACAGAATTATGATTGTATTAGGAATTAAAATAAAATTCCTATTAGGATATGGGATTTAAGTCCTATTAGGAATAATGTCCCATGTATTACCTATTAAAAGGGGCTAAGTCCTACAGTTAGATATTACAAAAAGAATAGAAGGCAAAGCCACAATTAGAGAGTGAGAGCCATCAAATGGGGTTTAATGAGTAAGCCAATTTGTGAGGCTTGTGAGAGATTCTTATAATTTCTTTAGTGTAATTTCTTTTCTTCTTCTTCATAGTGAAATTCTGCAATGACAAAGTGGACGTAGCTCTCATATGGAGAGTGAACCACTATAAATCTTGTGTTTATGTACGTAGTTATTTTGTGTCCTTTGTTTGCATTATTTTTTGCTTTTAGGGATTTAGGATTTGCTAGTATTCAATTAAATCCACCCCAAAAACTAGTATCAGAGCGAGGTTTGATGAAGAAAGTGATGGTTGGAGAAGAAGGAGGATCTGCACCTAGGATTAACAAGTTTGATGGAACAGATTACACATTTTGAAAGATGTAGATTGAAGATCGTCTGTATGGTAGAAAATTACATCTACCTCTCTTAGGAGCAAAACCCGAAAAGATGTCAGATGAAGATTGGGCACTCCTTGATAGATGAGTATTAGGAGTCTTTTGGTTAACATTGACCAAGAACGTGGCAAGTAACATGGCAATGGAGACAACCACAATAGGGTTGATGAAGATCTTGTCTAATATGTATGAGAAGCCTTTTGTGAATAACAAGACACATATTATGAAAAAATTATTTAATCTTAAGATGAAAGAAGATGCTTCCGTGACAGAGCATATGAATGATTTTAATGCAATCATTAATCAATTGTCATTTGTGAAAATTGATTTTGATGAAGAACTTCATGACCTAATTCTTATGGCCTCTCTACCAAATAGTTGGGAGCCTATGAGAGCAACAATTAATAATTCAATAGGTAGTGTGAAATTAAAACTCACTGATGTCAGAGATAAAATTCTTGTTGAGGAGGTTCACAAGAAAGATTCAGAATAACATCAAATGCTTTGAATGTTGAAACAAGAGGCAAAGGCTACGATAGAAATTCGAACTGAGGCAGAGGAAGATCAAAATCAAGAAACAAAAGAAGCAAGTCTGGGTTTGGAAAAAACTTTGAGTGTTGGAATTGTGGCAATAAAGACAACATATAGAGGAATTGCAAAAGCACCAAAGAAAGAGGAGAACAACAATACCAATGCTGCCAGTACTGTAACTAATGAGGTATAAGATGCATTAATTTTATCTATTGATAGTGTTATTTACTCTTGGGTTTTAGATTTAGGAGCTTCATTCCATACCACTACACACCGTGAAATTCTAGAAAATTATGTGGCTGGAAATCGTGGAAAGATATACCTAGCAAATGGAGAACCTTTGGATATTATAGGTATGAGTGATGTTAGGTTGAAGATGGCAAACGGATTTATGTGGAAAATCCAGAAGGTAAGGCATGTACCAAAATTGATGCGCAATCTAATATCAGTTGGACAACTTGATGATGAAGGGAATAGTGTGTCCTTTCTGGGGGGTATATGGAAAGTTACTAAAGAAGCCACAGTGGTTGCTCGTGGAATAAAACTGGAATTCTTTACATGACTTCTAATTGCAGAGATTTAGTTGCAATCGCAGATGCTAATATTACCTTGAGTTTGTGGCATTGTAGCCTTGGGCATGTGAGTGTGAAAGGAATGAAGGAGCTTCAATCAAAGGGAAAACTACCAAAGTCGAAGTCGATTGATCACATTTGTGTGAAGGTTGCATCTTGGGCAAACAGAGAAGAGTAAATTTTTTCAAAGTAGTAAGGAAACCAAAGGTAAAGAAGTTACAGTTGGTTCATACAGACGTGTGTATATATATATAAGAAACCAAAGGTAAAGAATTTAAAGTTGGTTCATATATATATATAAATAATATTATATATATATATATATATATATATAGGAAACCAAAGGTAAGAAGTTAGAGTTGGTTCTACGACGTATATCATATACATATATTAGATATATATATATATATATACACACGTCTGTATGAACCAACTCTAATTTCTTTACTTTTGTTTCCTTACTACACATATGGTGTGTGTGTGGTGTGTGTTATATATATAACATATATATGTTACATATATATGTATACATATATATGTTACTATATATGATTATATGTATGTACGTCTGTATGAACCGACTCTATATACATATACATATATATGTATACATATATATATATATAGGAAACCAAAGGTAAAGAATTTAGAGTGGGTTCATACAGACGTGTATATATATATATATACACACACACACTTCTGTATGAACCAACTCTAACTTCTTACCTTTGGTTTCCTATAATATAATGTATACATATATATGTATATGTATAGAGTTGGTTCATACAGATGTATATACATACACATATATGTATATGTATACACATATATATATATTATATATATATTATGTGTGTTATATATATATAATATACACCACACACACACGTCTGTATGAACCAACTCTAACTTCTTACCTTTGGTTTCCTATATATATATATATATTACAATATCATATATATATGTATATGTATGTGTAATATATATACTATGTATGTATATGTATATGTATATGTATGTGTATGTATATGTATATATATATATATATATATATATAATATATATATATATATATATATATATATATATATTATAATATATATATATATACACACACACACACACACACACACGTCTGTATGAACCAACTCTAACTTCTTGCCTTTGGTTTCCTTACTACACATATGTGTGTGTGTGTATATATATACTAATTCAACACCCCTTTATTCGCAAAAATATGAAAAACCATTTTTTGAACCCTTTGACATTCCAAAAGAAGAAATTGTTAAATTTAACAATCATAACACTGTAATACTCACTCTCTAGCTAGTATACTCGGAAAATAACAGTAAAACTCACAAAATATATATAAGAAAATATACACGTAGATGAGTATAAAATAATGGGCCCATAAATAATTTTTCATTAAATACAAATCTTTATAAAATATAATAAAGTCACAAAACATCAACTCGACAGTGTTGCCCAACCTTTCCACTGCGTGACCTTCCAAGCAACCGCATCTCACCTATTACCTACAAAAACATTGAAAACAACGGGGTGAGCACTAATTGCTCAATAAGTAAACCCGCTATGCTACTCTTCTCTCTCCGTTGCTTAAATTTTGAATTTCTTTCCTTACATCGCACCTCTCTATTCTTCTCTATTCTTTCTCTGTTCTTTCTCTATTCTTTCTCTGTTCTTTCTCTATTCTTTCTCTATTCGTTATCTATTTCTAATTTCTCACTACCCATGATAAGAGGCATGGTATCATGCATAGGTATGATGCAAATGCACAAATGCATATAATGTGCATTTTCTTTTCTGTTTTTCTATTCTGTTTTCTATTTCTTTTCTCTGTATTTCTTTCTTTCTTTCTTTTCTAGTCTTTCTTTCTTTTTATTCTTTCTTTCTTTTTCTATTGTTTCTTTCTTTCTATTGTTTATTTCTTTCTTTTTCTGTTGTTTCTTTCTTTCTATTGTTTCTTTCTTTCTTTCTATTGTTTCTTTCTTTTCTTTCTTTCTATTCCTGTCGATCGGACTCGGTTGAGGCATGGATTTGGAACCCTGGCCGTGTGAGTGTATTCTCTAATTCTGGGTACAGTCCTCATTCACATGCATTTTTAATGGATTGTACAATTCTTCTTTCTGAATTCTGAGCCGCTCAATAAAGGCGGCGTGCATGCGGGGCTATGTCACTGACGGTTTCCCATCGCAACAACCTTCTCTTCTTTTATCTTTTTACACTTCTTTTAATAAAATTTCAGATTTGAACTTCTTTAATATTTCTCGTTTCTTTCTATTTGTTCTTTAACTTTAATGTTCATTATTGCTCTTTAATGCTCTTATGAGTATGTATGCATGTATATGGGCTCATGCTTATTATTCTTTCTAAATTCACATGTTTGGATGCAATAATGCAATATGGAATGTGAACATGTCATTCTCTACCATCAACCAACTCATCTCAAGATATCAAATAATCATACTCATACATGCACTTCTCTTTGACATTTCATCAAACAACTCATGTGCACAAAGCAACTCTAATTTGGCTACAATTCTATCTCTTTTCTAAGCAACCAAAAATTTGGTGTAAAATCCTTCATATTTAATGCCAAACCTGTCCAAAATGTACACTACAAAATTTCTACTCCAATTCTTCCATAATTCATCCAAACTCTCATCAAACATCAAGTACACAAACACTAATGTCAAACCTGGCTAGGATTTACACTTCATAAATTCTACTCCCATTCTTCCATAATTCATCCAAACTCTCATCAAACATCAAGTACACAAACACTACTTCTCATGGATAAATTCTAACCATTATTCAATATCCATTCCATCAACAATTCTTCATATATAAGCATATACATGCATAAAAGAAATTCTCTACAATTCATCCAAACTC